CCATTATGTCATCTTAGCAAGATTTGATACAAGGTCAATGGAAAACGCAAAGATAAACACAAGTGATATCTAAGAATGACTGTTGTTAGCAGATCTTGTTCTGACTTTAATCATTCTATCTGCAGATGAACAGCATTTCATGAAAACCTAGGTCATTAAAGGATGTCATGAATTACTTGCTTAAACATAAAAGTATTAGGTCCATTACAGTAGCTAATCAGCACTACTACCTAAACCAGTGGTTCCCAAACTTTTCAGCTTTTGACCCATAAAATGCCAGCAGCAGAGACCTGTGCCCTGAGCTGTTGTCGGCTGATGTACATTGTTTTCACGTCAAATAAACAAGCACATAGTAACATTAATTATTACACTGTTTTTGTCCAATTTAAGTAGGCTACACTAATGTTATTCTTTTGTTACAACAAAGGCAAAAAAATGTTGTTAGTTGTTATTTTTAGTGTAATCAGTTCAGAAAATATTTTCAGGACCCCACTGTGGGTCCCGACCCCAACTTTGGGAACGACTGACCTAACCCACCATTAGACTAAACRTTTACTCTTTTCTGCTGGTTTGAAGCAGGGTCCAGTTTCCAAAGCTGCCATGTATTTTTGGAACCAGGGGTCTATCTGGACCTTAACTAACCACCTCTCCTGCACACAGTCATGATATGGCTACTGGCTTTTCTTTAAAGGTGAACATATTAGAAAAAATATTATTTAAACATGCAGTAGCTATAAGAACTATGAATTAACAATAGCAAACATCTGAACAAATAAGATTCACATTGGCCAGATATCTCATGTTAATCTGATGTAGCTTAACTTTATGATGCAAATGAATAAAATAGCTTGTTATTTTGGACAAATACTTTATTTCTTTGTAATCATATTGATTTATTGTGGTTATTTTAGATCAGGACTATTCAACTAGCAGCCTGTGGGCCACATCCAGCTCATGGGTGACTTCAGTCAGGCCCTCCAATGTTTTTTTTAATGTAATTTAATATAAAAATGAAATTTAGGTCAATTTAGATTTTTTTTGTTTCAGTGCAGCAAAATTAATAAATGTAAACATCCACACCTCCTCGGATGTCTGGCCCCTGAGGTGTTGGCTTTGAATAATGTGGTCCGCAGCATTTTGGTTGAATAGCCCCGTGTTAGGTTCTTTTAGTTTCAAATCTGCATCTAATTTTGTCATTTTTGTGTCTCTATATTAATCTTTTCAGGTTGTTGTTTGTTGCTTGTTTTTTTATCAGATGAATCTTGTAACTAGTTGTGTTTTTTTACAACTCTTTGAATATTTGAATATTTGCCCAACTTTGTCACTTTTAGTTTTGTAACTGTTCGATGTTTCTTTTTTATGTTTGCAGTATAGTTTTGTTGGTCATTTTGTGATGCTTCAGTAAAATTTTGTCATTTTGAAGTTGCTTGCTTGCAACGGAGTGTCATAATTTTGTTTTTGTTTTTTTCGTATCTGTTGTGTTTCTCGTGCTTATTTTTTGTGTTTGTTTTCTGTCTCGCTTTTAGTTTGGTTAATATTTAAAGAAGAAATATTCTACATATTGTCATTGATAATTAAAAAAATTAAATAGTGACTGCTGACAACATTTAGCTAATGCACCCCTAAAACCTACTTGCTGTCCACGTTTGCCACCAAAGTGCAAAAGTGTGTTTTAAAAGCCCTCTATTATTTTATTTTTATTTTTTGATGTTTTGAGAAATGTTCTTCAAACATTTTTAAATATTAACTTAAGTTGATTGTGCACTCATACAACCTTGGTAAATAAGACAAAAATGTTTTTTGAATGTTAAAAATGTTAAAAAGTCAAAACAAAGTAACTCATTCCTTTTACACTGAGGCTTGTTAGTTTTTGTAAAGCTGAAAAGTATACTTAAATTAAAATTAGAGCCAATATTTGTTTTAACAAATTTTAAGTAAATGTTGCATATGTAATAAATATTACAAACGTGTAAAACATACATTAAAATATGTAACGATAAAGAATAAGGACTATAAATACACGTCGCTCTGTCCGTTCAGTCTGTTTTTCTGAGCTTTAATAGATAAAACGACAACAAGCACATCCATTCATTAAACACTGATTTGTTGTTCTGTACATGTTTACATATTGTTTGTCAGCGTAAACATGTTTACAGTACAAAAAGGGGAGATGACATTACCTCCCCCACAGTCATCATCCTGACTCATTTCCTCTTCCCAGCATCATCATCTTCACTCACCTGGCCTTCATCCTCCTGGTGGAAGGAGAGGAAATGTTTGTGGACGAGGCTCGGCATCGGACAACAATATTCACGGAGACACTTTGTTCCCAAACGTTTCCTTTCTAATGAGCTGACAGCAGGTTGCCACCCAGACCGCGCTGAGGCTGCTAATTGTTTTTGTTCTGTTGGAAGAGGACCCTCTCATGCATGGATCTCTGTCTGTTATGTTTATAAACACATAATATGTCTGAGAAACGCTGAAATTTAAATTATTGCAGCGAGAAAGAAATAGCTTAAAGATCTTTTAATGTTCTGTAGAAAGGATGCGAACAAACATTACCTTACCCGTTTTAGATAACCCTTTGAGCAACCTCAGTTTTGAAAATGGAGTTTAATTCAGGATTTACAAGCTGATAAACCAAAATGTATTGTTGTCATCTTGTGCACACTATTTTAAAAATTTGTGTAAATGGTAACTTTCCCGTATGTTGTTTTTGGCAGCAACATCTGCAGGAATATCAGTGCAAAAATTATGTAAACATTTGGAGTAATAGTGTATCTCTTACTGGAATTGATCTTTGTCCATTTAGTTCTCCAAACTGTGGTCATTCAATGAGCTTTCTACAACAGGTAAGACGGTTTTTTTTTTTCAACTTTTTCACTTAATCTTGATTCAAAAGCTCAGGGCTATTTCTGTTAAACACCATTTTAAAACACTATCAACCTTACAGAACCTTCTACTGCTTGGTGGGCTTCAGTTGTTGTATTTCTCTTAATAAGTGTAAACAAAACAATACATCTGTGCTTCTTAGCCATACTGCTCAAAGTTACTCAAAGCAGCAGTTCAGGGACCAAACATCCRGGTGTGTGTGAGAATTTGTGGGTGTGGACGAGTATTTCATGACATATAAGGACCATTTTAAAACAAAACATACATTTGGGGACAACTGGGGACCTAAGCTTAGTCCCTGTTTGGTTTAAATGCCGTTGGTGGGATGGGGGGTTAGGTTTAGGACCAAGGTGCAAACTGAGTATAGGTTAGGTTTAGGGGTCAGGTATGTACCCGTGAGGTCAAGTTTAGGGTAGGGGGTCAGGGTTAGACTGTAGAAATTAATGGAAGCCAATGAAGTGTCCCCATAGCTGGACACAGTTGTGTTTGTGTGTTTGGGAGGGGAGAGGGGTACACCACTGCCTAGAGGGAAACACTGCATTATGTTAAAAAAAAATGAGAAAAAAAAATCTTTCACCTGTTAAATTTGGTTATTTTGCTGCGTTGAATCCTAAATTGCAAACTTAAAACTGATTTAAAGTCTATTTTTAAATTAAATGAAGTTTGAAAATTACATAAATAAACATGGAGATWTGACACTGTTGATGTAACAAACTCTGGACTGAAGTCACCCACGAGTTGAATAGTTCTGCAATAAATTATTTTTTCCTTAAGACAATTAAAGAAACTTCTAAAGATAACATAACTTCAGCTTGCTTTGCTGGGATAGATCAGGCGTGTGTAAACTTTAACAAACACACACTTATTTAGTGTTTAACCAGCCTTAATTTAGCCTTTTGATAAATGCAGCAGAAAAAGGAAACTGCAGAGAGCAGACACGGCCTACAATCCCCATAATGCAACTCCCTCCAGGAACAAGTAAAAAGACTTTCAGTCAGATTTTAAGCTCACGTAATACTCCAAAACATTTATTGGGCACAACTCACAAATATATATATATATATTTTTTACACATTGCACGTGACACAGGGAGGAACAGTGGTTAGGAGCTGTCGCCCCTCAGTGAGGTCACAGGTTCACCTCCCAACCCAAGCTTTTTTTTTGCACACCTTATTGTAAAATGTTAAAATGAATTGACGTGACACCAAACAGGTGTCTCTGGACACCAGTTGTTCAAATATTTACAGCTCCCGTTTTTGTTTTTTTATTATTTATTTATTTTTTGCATGTCTTGTGAACACTGGGGGCTTGGGTTGCAGGTTTTTCACTTATGCTCGAGGTCTCCAAAATAACTCAGGTGTCTACTGCTCTGTGCCGTGGCCTGAAGGGGAATGTGTGAAATTCTGGACGGTGTTGCGAGAGGCTCGGTGCAGAGGTTACAACGAAGGAAGGAGTTAAGGGTAAAAAGTGCATGCATCAGCCTTCAGGGACTTGTCACGTTGATAAATCGGACCGTTTAGACCACTTGAACAACAACAGAGAGGGGGATTTGTCTAGACATGCTGTCTAGACTCCACTGACTCAAAAAGAGAAAAAACATCAAGAAATTCTGATGGATGGTTAGCTAAGTAAAGGCTGACGTTATGTTTGACCCACGTGGAGGTCTACTTTGGGGAGGGTACAGTTTAGAACTCAATGAGGCTTTGGGAAATCAAACACTGGGAAGATATGAGGAGGGAGAAGAATCACATTGAAAAAAAAAGTCTCACTGTTTATACACCCAGCGTGCATCGCAAGTAAGCAAATTCTTTACAGCATCACATCCTCAGTGACTGTTTAGCCCAGCTGAGCACGAATTGAAAGCACATAAAAACCAATATTAGGACTCATGCACAAACAGAAATCATGACAACAGTACAAAAACGGTCAAAGCTTAAATAACAATATAACTCATGCATTGCTAAAATGTTTGCATTCCTTCACTGTTTGTGTGGCTATAATTTCAGTCTAAACTGGAAACAAAAAAAGAAATACAGCTCAAGTGTTGACAAAACCGCCTCACGAGGTCTGCTCAGGAGCCAGCAGTGATTATAAAATGGTCTCTAATTCCTTCACAGATAAGGGGTTGGCTGAATCTTCTGCTCCGTGGCTGGTGTCCGTGTCGTTACTGGCTCTGGTGTGTCGAGCAAAAACCCCTGACTCAGACCCCGCTCGTTCCAACGCAGCTGAGTCCCGCTGGGGGCTTGGAGCCTCCACGGGGCCGGGAGAGTAAACACATAGGCTGCTGTGAGCCTGGAGGGATGCTGGGGCATTGTGTCGGGGGAGCCTGACCCCCGAGCCCACCACTCCTCCGGTAAAGGACAGAGCTCTGGGGTGAGCGGCGGGCACGCAGACGCTGTGGGTGGTGGCGTGGGACATCATGCCGCCGTAGTAACAGCTCCCTCCACCGCTGCTGGTGATCCTGGCCTTCTGTTTGAGGTCCAACACCAGGTTGCGTCTCAACCAAGCCTTTTTCACCTCTGCCTGCACCTGAGGAGAAGCAGATTAAATATATTCTATCAAAATATACTTAACCCGTTTAAACACAAATTTAGCTTTATTACCTCTCCGTTGCAGAAGCAGTAGATAAACGCCACAAAAAAACCCTGAAAAAAAAAAAAGATTATTTGATCAAAACAAATCAAATTTACAAATCCTTGGAAGAGAAAGTGCATCACACTATTTATGGTTCATAATCGGGCTCTGACCTGGGAAGAGTTGAAGAACATCTCATAATGCATCTGCACCTGCCACAGCAGCCCGGTCACCTCAGTGTAAGGGAGAGCCATGAACACAATGTAGTGGACTCCAAACAAGGGCATGAGGACTAAGGTGGACTTCAGCAACTTCCTGCAGTGATAAATAAAAAGGAAAAATTCATGTGGTCAACCCCACTTCAAAGGAATAGTTTGGATATTTTGAATTGGACTGATTGTTAACTCATCTCATAACAGGAATTTCTCCCAAATTCTGCAAAGTGAGAACATTCTGCAGGTAACAGACTATTCACAACTGTTCCCTTAAAACCCCACTTAAAAAACTTCACCCCAACCCTTTAAAATTAATTGATTTTTATTTATTTTTGAAAGTTCAGATGAATAATTACCTGTACTGTTGTCGAGGGTCCAGTTTACCAGTGTTGGTTTCCCACAATTTAGAGGCAAGTACACGGATTATGTTAATGAAAAGGAGGAAATTCACCTGCACAGACAGAAATATAAAATCAGTGCATTATATTTGGAATTACACTTTAATGTTATTTAAAAAATATTTTTCTTACAACAATGGCTGCCAGAATGGGAACTTGATAAATCCATTTTAGGTTTCCGGCACTGATGTCCCAACAACTGAATGCAGGGATAAAACTGCTTAATTTAATGTTCATCAAAAAAATTACATGAAAATACCACAGGACTCACTGAGTGTCTGCCAGCGAGGCACGTGTGCTCACCCAGATGGACACGAAGACAGCTGGAACACCTGGAATGAGAGGAAGGAACAATGTATTTGCTGAGCGTTTGCTCTGCAACCATAGTGCGCAGCCTGTCGGAGCGCCACTTACCCCAACCCATGATGGTCAGAGCCCACAGGTAGTTCTTGTCAGACAGGAAGGCCATAAAGATGAGGCTATGGAGGTACAGACCCTCCACCAGAATCCAGTAATGATTGGTTGCCAGGAAGTAGAGGAAAAGGGTGACAGCGGCTTTACAACCAGCCTGATGGCAGCAGTTATGGGTAAAAGAATCAATCCATTACCGTTAGTTTTGTTTGAGCATCGGGGTCTAATAAATCTGCTGTTTTGGTGCATTTATTTGCACAAATTCCTGCTGAGATCTAGACACACAACGGCCACGCTTAAAGCCAATTTGACAAGCTTAGCTAAGCATAAAGACAAGTAAGGGTCAATAAAACGAGCGTCAAATACATGCTAAAAAGCTAAAGCTTAACATTAAGAGTTATTTGTTTATAAATTCTAAATGTTAAAATGATGCAAAATTATACAGTATATTTTAAAAAGGGGTGTTTTTTATTTACCATCTGAGGTCTCTCTGTTGTGAACGCAGAGTCAGTTTTATTGCCGTCAGATATGGAGTAGAGCACAGCATCTTTCACAAAAATGCTCACTGCTCGACAGATGAAGGAGGCGAAGAGGTGAATGTGAATGTAGTTGCGTGTGCAGTGGAGACGTCTGGGGAAAGTTTGTGTGACAAATAAAAGGAAAGAAAAGAAAAGAAAAGAAAAGAAAAGAAAAGAAAAGAAAAGAAAAGAAAAGAAAAGAAAAGAAAAGAAAGAAGTTTATGAAATGTGAGTCAAACCTTATTATGATGCTGCCCAGCAATGCATGGTTCTGCAGCTAATAGTGGAACTAATTTCTCATTTTGCAGATTTCACTAACTTTCAAAACAGTTAGTGGACTAATTAGCCTCTGCTAAATTAGGTGTTGCCAACTTTAAGTCTGCTAACGGCTAACTAACATACTAACAAACCAACATGAACAGGTTTGAGTCAGTTCAGCTCAAAGTAAACAAAGACGTGTGATGCAGAGGGACAGCCGATTTAGTGATTAGCAGTTAGTGTTAGCTTCCACTTTACCTGTTGAGGGATTTAGCGTTAGTGTAGCTATATTTTTGGTTAGCTGTGCCCACCATTGCTGCCTGGAAAACTGCAGAAAACATTTGAGTCCTACGTTGTGAGTTAGAATTTGAAATGAGCTCAAATGTGATGCAATGGATCAAAGTTTTCTGGTTGCTCACTTAAAATAGCACAGGATGGAGACTGCCACCAGCAGGGATGCCAGAGAAACTGAGTAGCCCACAGTGTACATGACATGGAGTCGTTGAAACACCTTCTGAAACAAAACAAAGGTACTTTATAAAAGCGTCTCAGCAGGAGCTTAAAAACAACAATTTAACAAATCATAGAACGTGTGTTGCAAAATCTTACACATATTTATGTGCAAGAATATTTGCATCAATAAAAGTGAGATTATACAGATTTGTATTATTTTCTTACAGTTTAAAAAAATGCACACTGAAACTGTAGCGTAAATGTCTTTTTTCATATAGACAATAGGTCGACAAAGAAACAAAAGTAGTTAAACCTAAAATCTTTTTTCTTTGCAGATAAAATGTCAAATTGTGGGTTTTATCTTTATATTTCTGTGGAAAGTTTGAAAATTTTATGCAAAATTGTTTAATTCTGCAATATTTGGTCTAAAACTCAGTGCTCAGCCCTCCATGGGAACGGTGCAGTTGTCATCTTCAATTTTCCTTCGGTAATAAATGTTTGTTGATGTTTAAACCTGTGAGTGGGGTGGTCAATGACTATTGTCATCAGTTTACTATAATTACTGAGCTGCAGCACTGCAGAAGGGTCAAGGCTGTGGCAAAGAGCCTCTATGTCTGCTGAATGAACTGACAGGGACAGAAGACATGTCAGTCCCCGACTGAGCTGTCTTGTAAATTGCAAATTAACCATTACCTATGTTTACATAGACATGAGTATTCAAAATATACTGACCTGACTCAGCTCGATCATAATGAATTTGTAATCCGAACGAGAGGGGTGTTTTATGCCGACTGACAATGCAAACACTTACAGTGGAGGAAATAATTAATTGATCCCTTGCTGATTTTGCAAGTTTGCCCACTTACAAAGACATGAACAGTCTACAATTTGAAGGCTAGGTTAATTTTAACAGTGARAGATAGAATGTAAAAAAAAAAAACACCTGTTTATTACATATAAATAAATTATTTACATTTATTTGCATTTTGCAGAGAGAAATAATATTTGACCCCTCTGGCAAACAAGACTTAATACTTGGTGGCAAAACCCTTGTTGGCATGCAAGCACAGCAGTCAGAATTTTTTTTGTAGTCGAGGTTTGCACACGTCAGGGGGAATTTTATGAGGCTGTCACTTGACAACTCTGAGTTTCAGCTCCCTCCGAAGGTTTTCAATGGGATTAAGGTCTGGAGACTGGCTAGACCACTCCATGACCTTAATGTGCCTCTTTTTGAGCCACTCCTTTGTTGCCTTGGCTGTATGTTTTGGGTCATTGTTGTGCTGGAAGAGGGAAGGAGGTTGTCACTCAGAATTTTACGATACATGGCTCCATCCATTCTCCCATTGATGTGGTGAAGTGGTCCTGTGCCCTTAGCAGAGAAACCCCCAAAAAACAGTAGGGTGGGGACAGTGTTCTTTGGGTCAGTGTTCTTAACATGGTGAGTTGAGTTAATGCCAAAGAGCTCAACTTTTGTCTCATCTGACCACAGCACCTTTTCCCAATCACTCTCAGAATCATCCAGGTGTTCACTGGCAAACTTCAGATGGGCCTGAACATGTGCCTTCTTGAGCTGGGGGAGCTTGCATCCATTAAGGTGTCATGTGTTACCAATGGGTTTCTTGGTGACTGTGGTCCCAACTGCCTTGAGATCATTAACAATTTCCCCCCATGCAGTTCTAGGCTGATCTCTCACTTTCCTCATGACCAAGAATACCCCACGAGGTGAGATTTTGCATGGAACCCCAGATTGATGTCGATTGACAGTCATTTTGTATTTCTTCCATTTTTTTTTACTACTGCACCAACAGTTGTCTCCTTCTCACTCAGCGTCTTACTTATGGTTTTGTAGGACATTATAGCATTGTGCAGGTCTATCTTGACCCTGATATCCTTAGACAGCTGTTTGGTCTTGCCCATGTTGTAGAGGTTACATATGGGATAAAACTTTTGCCAGCAGGAATTGAATTTGAATTGCTCAGATTGAATCTGAATGTGCAAAATATGAAATTGAATGCATTGGTTTGATAATTAATTTTACTAATTTGAAACTGAATTTAAGTTTTGAATTCGAAGTAATTTGCATTGAAACTGTATTTTGGTTTATTAAAAATTAAGTTTGACTACTTTCAATTTCAGTTCCAAAATTCAGATTTTTGTGTCACACATCCTGGTCCTTGAGAAAGTCAGCCAGAGTAATCAAACAGAGATCTACAGATTTAYGTTTCACTTGGGTGAAGTTTCCCTTCTGTAATGTAACAGAGTTGAAGCAATCCACAGTAAAAGTGACAAAAACAGACAGGTTTTTTATTGCAGTGATTAATTTTACCTATGTGTAGAAAATGTTACACATCCTGTCATGGATCAGTCAGCAGCAGCATCTGATCAATATGTGATCCATGATGTGATGTAAATGTAACACTTTCTACACATAGGTAAAATAGGTAGAAAATGTTTCAATTTAGTAAATTTCATTTTCAAACCAATGCATTTAATTTCAAATTATGCACATTCAGATTCAGTCTGAGCCATTCAAATTCAATTCCTGCTGGCACAAATGGACTGAACTTTAATGCAGGTAACGAGTTGATTAGGAGCATCGAACTGGTCTGTAAGAACCAGAACGCTCACTGGTTGGTAAGGGATCAAACACTTATTTCTCTCTGCAAAATGCAAATAAATTTATATAATTTACACAATGTGATTTTCTGGATTTTTTTTTAATATTCTATCTCTCACTGTTACAGTTTTTATTGATTGCTTTGACCTGTTTGAAGAAACTGGGAACCTCTCAGTCTTCATCATCACCATCGCAGCAGAGCAGAAGACACCTCTTGCAATGTGTCAACCCTTTCTCATTGGATTGACACAGTTTTCCCACCCTTTTGCAAAAAAGTTAACGTATATGTCATTCAAGAAGTCCAAACTCCGTTTTAGCTGTGGTTACAGAACAGAAACCATCTGCTCCAAGCTCTTAGAAACTCCCTGATCAGTATGAAATCACCAAAAGCACCTGTTTGACACTTCTTCACAGAATTTTTCAATTTGCAGTCTGCAGGCCTGTGTTGTTCTAGTATAGGCCTACTATAGATTTTTGTTCTTTATTGTAAAAGACTGGTTTTCATTTACCTAATTTCTCACACAGTAAAGGATTTTGATGTATTCTCTGTTGGAATATTTCATTTGTCAGGCACAGTCTGAAAAAAGAATGTAATCAATAAAATTTGCATCAAAGCATGTCTGCTTCTCGGTGAATTTTTTGCAAGAGGGCAAATTTGACTGCAAACGGCGCTGGCATGTACTGTAAGCTACGTACAGCCATAGGCCATAATGACAAGCAATGGTGCACTGATTCACACAGGAGTGCTGTCTTTTGTTGCCCATTGTGTAAGGATTGATTGGAGGTGCTCATACATTGTGTCAAAGCTGAATTGTTTGAAGGCAAAATTTTCTTTTGTTCCATATTTTAAATGTTTTGGCACAGTTGGTGCCTTTTGCAAACAAAACGTGTCGTTTTGACCACTGTGTCACTGTTTAGGCCTCTGCATTAACTGTTTTGAAAATGTGGATTTTGAGTTGAAGGCTGCGTCAAAACAATCAATAAAAACGATAAAATTAACCTTCAAATTATAGACTGTTTATGTCTTTGTAAGTGGACAAACTTGCAAAATTAACAAGGGATCAAATAATTATTTCCTCCACTGTATTCTGATCGTGTTATTGTGGTTGTGGAAAATTGACCGGACTGTGCATGTCTTCCACTGGTTTCTGGTCTTTTGTGGAGGGAGGGGCAGCAGTGTTATAGTTGCTGGCAGTACTGAAAGTGGGGTTTCACAGGAGGAGTTGCACTTTAGCTAACAAGCAAGTCTCAACCTGTTTTGTTTAGTGATGTGTAGATAGATTATGGAATGTCGATACCCTCAGTACCAGATCAATATGCTCTAAAATTGATTCTAAAATCAAAAAATCAATACTTTGACCCTTCAGTCCCCTCAGGTAATGTATATAAATAACAGGAATGCAATAGAAAGTAACTAAACTATTGAAATCTTAAATCATACGCAATTGAACTACTTTTTCTTCTGCTTGGGCAATGCATAAGTCTGTGTAAATGTTAAATGTTGAATATGTTCATGTGCCTGTAAATTAAAACTCAAGTTTTAATTTTCAAAGTAGTTCTTGATAATAAACAATAATTTATTTAATGGTTTTACTGTTTTACTTCACTTTTTGTTTAAAATACCATTTTCACATACTTTGTATRATAGTTCCTATTCGTACAGTATTTCTGTTGTACTAGCTTAGCTATACTGCAAATGAAGACACTACATCAATATATTTTTGAGTTTACAATTAATAAATAAATTACTCTGATGTATTTTATTTTTTATGAGGCTATGATTTGAAAACACTCTGTTTTTTAGATTTATCAGACACATTAGGTGTATTTGTACAAAGTATCAGCATTTAATAAATCATTTGGTTTCAGAATCAGAAAGGAAATCTGCGGTACGACCATCACTAGTTTTAGGTGACTATAAACAAACCTCCTCGAGTCTTCTGTGGTCAGACATGAGGTATCGGGTGCACTCGGTGTAGTTTGCCCAGGTTCGGTTGTTACTGGGCACCAACTCCCAGTTCCCCGAAATGTCGCATTGGCGGTGGGCTCGTCCTGAATCACAGGGAGAGAAGTTACAGTCAGGGAGTCTCCAGAATGTCATTTGTAGATGTCAGTCTGTCTGAAGTTTGCCTACCTCTGTGGTTAAAGTCATAAATATATTCAGGACACAGCACTGAGACCAGCTGACCCGATCTGCTTCGTGGCCAGCAGATAATCCCATCCCACTCTGGGACACAGTCTCCTTCTTCAAAAACAACAATAATCACTTGTCAGCCATGATAAAATTATTAAAGGTTAGGGATCAGTTTGAGTGTATCATTATCATTTCATACTTTAGCCTACATAAAACATCAATTTGGTCTCATCTCCTTAAATAATAGGAGTCATATTCTAGTGGGGATTCCTATTCCTGCTCTGGAAGAGCTCATATCTTACTTTTCTGACAGACATTTAGAGCTTATATAAACCAGAGCCTGTTCAAAATGAATATCCTGTAATGTGGGGCTCCCTCTGGGTTTTAGTTTGGGACCAGAACCCCTCTTGCTTTCTATACTCCCTCAAGGACAGATAAATTTAGCAACATTTAACAACATTTATGCAGATGGCATTTATGCTGTTCCTTCACATAATCTGAGCGACTTGTTTGCTCCATAATTTTTAAGAAATTCAGGACCTGATGTCTGATCATCRCTTCTGACAGCTAAACTCAAGGCGACAAATTGGTTATTTAGACTCAGTTGTCTTAGTAAGTCTGAGTAAAGTAGGTCTGTTTGACCAGTTTATGTTTCTAGACAGTCACTCCAAACAACTGGGCCACTGGTACCTCTAAGTGCCAAAAAGTATAAACGACTAAATTAGGTTCTAGGATAAATATTTGTCCTTTTTCACAATACAGTTGCAAAGACGAGGCCCGCTTTCTTAACTGTCTGCTTCTTTGGTTTTTTGTGGAAACTCAGGAAYATTAGATTTGCACGTTAAAGCACAAAACATTTCCACTTTAATGAGTTCTTTAAAGATTTTACTTCTCATTTGATTTAGTTATCTCAATCAATGCCAGCAGTCGCTTTTAAAATTGGTCTGCCAATAGTGCATTATTTGTCGTTTTCTGCTATGATTATTTTCATTCTTCTAAATATTTTTAAAAAATTGTTCCTGTACGAACAAGCGTGAGAGTCAAGTTTAGGAGACACTTTTACATTTTTCTTTACTGAAGTGTTTTTTTCCCCTCCAGGGTTGATTYGTGATTCATTTGTAGAGCATTATATCATAAGGGACAGGTGCCTGCAGGGCTTCAATCTTCTCAATGATAACTGTTGTTGCCTGAAGTTTAACAGAAAACAACAGCTAACTATGACAATATTGTCTTGTTTTTAATTTTTCTGTATGTTTTTTTTAAATATCTAACTACGGTTGCATATTTTAACCTTTTATATATCAAATGTTCAATGTTTTTTTTTCAAAAACTTGGTTTTTCAATAATCTGCTTTAGTACTTGCGCTGATTTTGTTTCTTTGTTGCTACTTTAGCTTCTGTAGTAAATTTAGTGGTGTTTAGTTTTGTGAGTAAAGTTGCCGTCCTGTGGATTCACACAATTGTTATTCTCATAACAAAATTACACCCGTCTTCGTAAATATCAGGTTTTAAAAAACAAACAAAAGCAAAAAAGATCTTAGCGAGTTCACTTGGAAAAAAACTATTGATTGGCTACAGTTTTTTTACAAGGATTTATAAGTATAGTCTCTTGATTTCTTCACAGATTGCTTAACTGCTGGTAATAAAAACTGATTTTCTTATTAATAATGATAATAATAAATATACAGCTTGTCATATTACAGATTAAAAGGTTATTGACGACAGGCCTAGTTCTGAGTGTCAGACTAAATCTGTTCTGCAGCGTTTGAAACTTTTTTTTATTTTTCTAACATCAGTCTGTGTATCTAATGCAGTCTTTATCCTGTCGCTACAACAAATTGTCTTAACTATTGAAGCTTCTACTTTCTAATCCAAATGAAAACAATTTGCTGACGTAAAGTCAACAGATTCAGCTCAGCAGGATATTGGATGGATGTTATATCTGATCTCTAATAAATAACAAAGGTTATAATTAGTTCTTTTCCGGTTACATATTTAGACACGCGCTCCATGGCTGACTTCTTTGAGAAAAGGTCAGTGCGATTATTCTGAAATGATTGGAAGCAGCGTAGAAAAACCTTTAATGAGGTCCATCTGTGCCCGGATGCTCCTTTCACACCTGGCGTGAGCACCAATCAGAAGGTAGATCTGCTCGTCTCGGGTGATGACGTCATCAGAGTCTATCTGCAAGAGATGGATCAGATAAAAAGCAGAATTATTAAAACAAGCAAACAGACGAGATGTGAGGGCGTTAAGGTTGATTTATTGGAAGCATCAAAGGCAAATGTAAGCATCTTCAGCTGCAAACCAGCAAATTTCACACGATTTCTATTAAAAGTCTGCCAGAGGTCTGTTTCCAAGTGGGGCGATCTGTCATCTGCAGACACTCTCCGGTCTGGTGTGCTCCCTCCAGGTGTTGCGAAATTGTTGTGTGAGGGTGTGGTATGTGGTGATCCCCCGCTAACCCCTTTGGGCCCAGCGGTCGGWGCTGCTGCCACACGAGGGCCTCGGTCCTTAGCACCCGTGGGCCCTGCTGGTGAGAGCCGAGCTTCACAAACAACTTTTTGTGCCGGGCTACATTTCACAACACAGCAGCAAAACAAACAGAGTCGTCCGGAGAACAAGAGGTTACTGAGATGTCAATCAATTTGCCTCGGAGAGTTAAGATAACTGTGAAATGTGTCACTCCTTTTTCACTCAGAAGCTGGCATTTCTTTAAAAATACATTTAGGCGATTGAAACTAGGATTTTAAAGTGAAACCTACTGAAATGCTCCATCTGACAGCTCCTCTCCTCAGAAGACAAACAAAATTCTTGTCAAACTGAGCGAATTCCATCTGGAGCGATTCACGAAACTGGATATGTGTTAAGTGATCCTCCTGGCAAAGGCCATAAAAAATAAACTGCCAGTGAGAGAGTCGTGTTTTCAATCAGCACTCAAGATGCAGCTTTGGCGATTTGCTCCGGGAAGGAAAAGGTCAATACAGAAGCTCGGGAGTGAGGGGATCAAACTTTGTTTTGTTGGATAGTACGGATCAGTCACACTGTAGCTGTGTCCGTGTGTAATTACAGCACATGYAGCAAATGTTTGTATCTGTTTCTCTGGCTGCAATCATCCTTTAACACGCATTGATTCTGTGCCTTGTTCAAAACAATCAACACCTGGAGGTCACTCACGTTCCTCTGCACAGAGGGGACTTTCTGCTGACAGATATTGCATTTTTTTGCAAAACAATTAGTCTTTTGGATCCACTCTCCCTTTGTGCTGCAGAGCATTAACCCCCTCGGGCCTTATCCTTAGGCAAAGTGATTTTCAGGCCGACTGATCCAGAGATTGTAAGTCTGTCAGAAGTCGACACTCAGGAATCGACCCAGGGAAGATTAAGYGATGAGGAGGACAAGGCTCAGAGGTAACTGCTGTCAGGATTGGTGGCTGGAGGGTCATGTTTTGCTGAGCGAGAGCCGGGAAAGGTTACAGTCAATGATGGGGGGTTTGTGACATCATTCAGGTAGGTAATTTCTAATGGAGAAAACTTAAGGCAAATTCTTTTGGGGGAGGTGAGGGCTGTTCAGTCAATTCATCATTTTCAGGAGAAGCAAAGTTGCCCAAATGAGCTTTTGAGRCTCCACAGACCCAGAGACATTATCTCCAAGCAGTGAAGATAAATGATGCGCCACAGATGGAGACAGCCATCAGAAAAAAAAAATTCCTCCAAGACCATCGGTGACAGCTGAGCTCATCCAGGAAGTCACAAAATATCCAGGAGAGTTAAACATCAAAGTGAACCATGGCCTCACTCACCTCGTTAAAGCCCAGATTGCACTGTCTGGAAGACAGAAAGTAAAAGTGGCATCTAAAGAACGAACACCAGGGAGCTGGACCAAGTTTCAACCTTTTTAGGAAAAAAGTTTCCAGCAGGAGAATCAAGAACAGGTTGTGAGGAGGATGTCATTTATGCTTTGTAAACTAGAAAAAAGTCCTCGAAATCGAACAATTTTTCTTTAAACATTGTTGCACATACAGTATAGTAGAAAACATGAACCCATGGCTTCGACAGAAACAGAAACACAGATCCTCTGTTGCTACAAACTGAGATGAGGGTTGTGAAGCAAATTTACTCCTGAATGGTTTCCGGTAAAAATCTGAACCCATGAAAGGACGATGACGCAACAAACCACCAAGCACGAGTGCAAAATACTCTCCTGCTTGTCCTGCAGAGAAATCTCTATAAATCACTGAGATCCGATCAGGAATTGTTTTCACTCCAACTACAAAGTTGGTTCAGCCTACATATTTGGTCATGTTTTACCTCTCACTTTTTTTTAATGCTTGTTTTTTAACTTTTTCCTCATAGTTATGCAAACACGTTGCGTTTGTCTGTGGTCGGTCTTTGTTTTGTTGCATCCTGATGATGGTGTTTTGTTGTGGTTATTTTGTGCCTTGTCTGTTTGGTTGAGTTGTGTCTCAGTTTCTCCTCTTTCAGCCTTCGTTGTCTAACTATTAACTTTGACTATATTTACCATCACTATTTGTCTGAATGCTCCTGTAGTCATAAATCTTGGTTCTCTAGACACAATTTATCAAAAAAACAGAAGTTGAACGCTCAAAAACATCCAATCCAAATACGTATTTTAAAAAGCTGGACAATTTGTGCGGCTTAAATACAAGTTTCTATCATTCTTACACTAACTGATGAATCTTTGTTAAAATGTATGAACAAATTTCAGACAAGTATATTAATAAATGTTACAAAACCTTGTTCAGATCAAAAACTAGAATGTAGAATTACACTTTTCAGGTTGTAAATGATATGATTTGTTCACTTGAAGGTTAACAATCGTCTAAATAATAAACCCAATTTTGTCTTTTGTATCAGTTTGATGTGTTTGTGTCTCATTTTGCTTTTATAATTGTACAGTGTTAGGTTTTTAGTAAAACTTCTGTATTGCTTTGTTGCTTTTTTATAGTGTGTCTTTGTGCCTATTCCAATATTACATAAAAAATGTGTCTTTTGTCTAGATTTTCTGCAATTCTTCTGAGAAAAATCCAGTCCTGCTCATGTCTAAACCTCAGTGAGATGCTGCCGTCTCATGCCGTCGGCTCGGCACATAGGAGTTGTTGATCATTCCAGCACATTCATCCAAATGTGTTTCAGTTCTGTCTCCTAAAGGTGGCCCCTCTTCCCTTATAGGTAACAGATAAGTCTATATGCCTTCAATATAACACACGCTATCAGTTCACGATTGTACTTTGTGTTTATTCAGGCTGCTTCTCTTTCAGATAAAATTCTTTTTACAACAATATGACACAGTTTAGACTGAGAAAGGAGAAACGTGAAAACAGTTTTATGTTTGATTCTTAGCAGATTTACTGTAGTTAAAAATATGTCTGTCTCATTTGTTTGACTGAAAAATGAAGGGAGGACCACTTTGTTTTGTTGATGAATATTTAGCAGATTTGCTAAAGACGGAGAAGAATTTCTCTAAAATTAAAACAATCATCCGTGAACGTTGCAGACGTACAAAAATTTCCAACTTACCAAAAGTATAGATAATTCTGAACAATGATTCTGACTTACTTTTATAATAACAGGATGTGATGCCTGTCTGTGAAATGGTTTGTTTGGTGAAAATTTGTTCCAAATTTACAGACTGTTAAACACAAACTGCAAATAAAACAAACATACAGATTAAGTAATAATGCACACATTTAACAAAAACAATTAAGAAAAGAAATCATACTTTGCCCATTTTCTTGTACATGAAGCAAAATATGAGCAAATTTAAACAATTTTGCCATCAGAGAATTTACGAGCAAAATATTTTTATAAATTTATTTTTTTTATTTTTTTATTTTAGCTTTTTCATATTTGAAGTAAATAAAAGCAAAATAAAACAACAAAGGACATCAATGAACCATTTTTAAACTTGTTATGTAACTTTAAAATTGTATTTACAGATATGTTAGTTTTTGTCAAAACATTGTATTTATTTTTTATACCAAGAAAAGAGGGATTTTATAACATTATTGGGTAAAAGTAGGAATTATTTAGTAATATACTGTTAAAATAACTGGCAATATGCAAAACCAACCAGATTCGTTAAAACACAACTTGTTAAAAGTGTAAAAATCAAAGAGCGTTTAATAAAATGATGCACAATTTCAAAAATGCAGTTGTTGATTTTTAATTGATTTACAATGAAATGTAATCATTTACAGTAAAAGCTATTCAGTTACAGTAAGGTGACCGTTAAATTGACTGCCAGTCAGTTCATTACAGCGAAGGAACCTGTTACATGAGAGAATGTTGAAATTAATTCATTATTAACTTAGATGTGAAGAAGTTAAAGTGCATACTCACCAGTGCTGCAACTGTTATCACACAGTGGAAAAGAGCCAAAGTTCCAACTCCCTGTGTGAAAAGCATAATTTCTTCACAAATATACTCTCAAAGGAAACAACACAGAGATCTCCACGCAGGCTCAGATAATGTTGTTCTCCACAGGTTGTTCTGGTCTGACTTGTTGCAGTTTCTTATCCCATCAGTGCTCAAACTTTTTTTCTCTTTAACAGTCAATAAAAACTGCCTTTACAGAATCTCTTCATATTCTTGAATAACTTTTTTATCTTTTTCCTGATTTAGTCCTTTATTCTGTTAACATTCCCGTTCAGGTCTAAGGGACAAGTAGCCCTGACAGTCTGAGGGGAGGACGGAGGAGCAGCAAGGAGGAAACCTCCTCTTTTTACAGCTCTTTGGACTGTGGATGGGTTGGTCTTGATTGGCTGATGCTCCCATGCTCTTAACTCTTTGTGCTCCTCTGTTCTGGCCCTTTTCTCTTTGTTTACCATCTTGCTTTGTGTGTGTGTGTGTGTGTGTGTGTGTGTGTGTGTGTGTGTGTGTGTGTGTGTGTGNGTGTGTGTGTGTGTGTGTGTGTGTGTGTGTGTGTCAGGTTTTTTTTTACCCCAAACCCCTCAGAAGAGCAGTAATGATATTTTTTTATTTGTACGTCTCACAGCCCTCAGTGTAACCTTTACAGCACATGAAATCAGTTTTACTGCCATGTTGATTATTGCCCATGAAATGACCCCCATCCTCCTGCTCCTCCTCTCTCCCACGCTTCCACACACACAAACAGACACATACACACATAATTCAAACATGCAATTTTCAAAACTCCCTATATGCTATATATTTACGTGCCTTAAGTTCAGACTTGGTCATAAGTCTATTTTTATATCCCTTGCTCTAATAGGAAAACAACCTGATTTAGTTCATCTAGGGCTGGAGACTGACATTTTTATCGGCCGCCTGAAGGGAAAAGGAAGACGACAATGTTTTGCTCTTGTGTGTGTTTGAACGTCTCTTATCAAAACACCTTGTGAAACCCCCAGATTAAGTGTTTAAAAATAAAAAAATAAACAAATCTCAGTCAATTTTACAAACACCGAGATTCACAATTCATACTTTAACCTCCACATGTTGTGCAACGTCTTTGCTTTAAATTTTGCTGTCAGCCCTGTTTTTCTGTTAGCAAAATATCTCACAAGCCACCATGTGGCAGACTGAGTCAGTTGAGCTCAAACATGGCGTGGTAGCAGCTGACAGTCCTTTTAAACACATATTCTGAGATAACAGGAGATAACGCACAACATTTTTTCAGTGTTGACCAAATTGGCTTCAGCTATTTCCTTTTGCAACATGACACTGGTATGAAGTTTAAAAGTTTTACTCTTCATGCATGACTTGTTTTTTCATTTTCTAACAATTAGCTATATAATGCAATAATTTCAAAGACCTTATAACTGCTAAGCTAACAATATGTCTATTATGTTGAACTGAAATTGGTCAGATAATTAAACAAATAGTGTTTCATAAATTTTAAGATTTAATCAGCATTATCAAACTAACCCCCAATTACGTTTTTTTTTTATTTAGGCACAAGTAAAACAAAAAAGTTTTTTTCTTTAGCTGGTAATTTCAGAATTTATAATAATACATGACTGCATTGCATTTAGCCACTACTATTAATATATATTTTTGCATGAATTAATGTCAAACCAGGTTCTTGTTTTTTTTACATAAGTTCCCAATGTTCGGTTTTCTTCTTTAAATTTTTTTTTACAAAATAGTTATTTGTTTCAGTAAAATGTATAAGTTAACAGTAATAGTTACACAAGTGTAAATATTTCTAGTGCCTTTAGAACTTTTATTTTGAAAAGTCAAAACGTGACGTAACACAACCCGGAAGTAGCAAATCCAAGTGTGCCCCTGTCCTTTCAGAATTGTAAGTTAGAAAACTATAACGGTTTTTTGTATTATTATTATTATTAGTCCTTATTGTTAGGTAAATAAATACTGCGCGTGTTTAAACATCAAACGCGTGAGTGGAAACGTGACGCTTTGTTTTTGTTAGCTGTGTTGTTTTTGTTAGCTGTGTTAGCTGTGTTTTTTCAGTTGTGTCTGTGTGTGTTTGAAGGGCATGGTGGTGCTGGGCACGACGCTGCTCAGGGCTCTGCGGACCCTGCGACCTCCGACACCGGCCGTGGCTCCAGTCAGGCTCCCGGTACGGCCCGTCCTGTCCCCGGTGTGGAAGTGGACATGTCCCGTCAGGACACTGCAGGTGTCTTCCGCTGTCCACGCAGGACACAACAAGTGGTCCAAAGTGAGACACATCAAGGGACCGAAAGACGGGGCGAGAAGCACTACGTTTCACAAACTTGGGATGTTGCTAAGAGCAGCTGTGAGAGGTAAATAAAAATAAATTAATTAAAAAAATGTTTTAAACACAGCTGGATATCATTTTGAAAACTTTTGATTAATATTTGCAGAAGGTGGAGCTAACCCAGAGATGAACACCAGCTTGGGCCACATATTGGAGCAGTGCAGAAGGAAGAACATGCCGAAATCAACCATAGATTCAGCCATCAACAGTGGGGTAGGTTAACAACACACACGCGCACGCGGGTGTATTTTCTCTAAAACTACCACATTTTCATCTGCATGTTACACAAGTACTTACCTAGAGAGTGAATTGGAGTAAAATGTTCTTCCTTCCTCTTTGATTTACCTGTGGAGCCAATCCCATTCTAAATGTGTGCCAAAAATAGCCACAACTCAGTCATTTTTATAAATATTGAGCTAAAATTTAAGGTAGTAGCTGACAGTCATCCCCAACACATGCTTAGAGTATTACTTTTGTATTATAAGCTACTGGTGGTCCACATTAAAAAAAACTGAAACAAATATCTCTGTCTACATGAGAAGATGAAGCCAGTAACACATCAAGTGTTTGAGGTCCGGGGACCCAGTGGATGTATGCTGCTCGTCGAGGTCCTGTCTGAAAACAGCATGCGCACCAATCAGGAAATCAGACGCCTTCTTAACAAGTACAGGTTAGCCTCCCACACTCTCAGTGTACGGCAACCGCATGTTTCAAGTTCCTAAAACATGTTTTCTGTGCATTTTGACAACAATTATTTATTTGTTAAATGCTTACCACTGAACTCTGTATTTGTCCCCTCGTCCTTAGAGGGATAATGTCCGACAAAGCCCGGAACAACTTTATCCAGAAGGGTGCAGTGGTGGTGTCGGGTGAGAATGTCACCACTGAGAAAGCCCTGGAGTTAGCCATCGAGGCAGGAGCTGAAGACGTCCAAAATATTGAGGATGAGGAGGAGAAGCCCCAACTGAAGGTGAGAATTAAATTCTGGTAAAAAAGTATTTGCTGCTCATAGAAGTACAAAAGACCTTTATTTTGAAAAGAGCAGACTATTCAAACAAAGAAATCAAGCTAAGTTTTATAGTGCTAATCCACTAATGTATTATCTACCTTTACTTGGACTTGGATTGTTTATTTTATTAAATTGTTTTTGTTCGTTTTGCTCATTTTATGACAATATTTTCCATCTCAGTTGAGATTGCCTGTCAAAGCTGCTGTAAACTTTCACCAGAGCAGAATGTATTTATGTATTCTGCGCTCTACATACCTATATCATTTATGCATATTATGAACAAATTTAGACTCAGCACCAAGCCCTGGAGAGGGGGTTCTCTGCAGACGAGTAGGCGTTTTCAAGGGAAGGTGGTTCACAACAGACATACCTGATTGGACGAGCACAAAGGGAGGCGTTACTTAACAACCACACCTGATTGGATGATCATTGCTTCGATGTTTCTTTATATTATTAGCTTACTTTGGAAAGAGACCAGTGATGACCCTGACCGTGGTCAGAGACTTCACTGAATGGTGTCAATCTTCTTTTTTACAGTTAAATGTCTCAAAGATGAAGGAGATGGTCATTGATTTTTAGAAAAGATCTCTTTGGCTGCCACTCCTGTTGTTATTAATGGTGAAGCTGTGGAGGTGGTACACCATTATGAATATCCTGGAACTGTTTTGGATGACAAACTGAACTTTGATGCCCACGTCAACTCACTGTGTATGAAGGCCCATCAGGATGTATTTTTTTATCAGAAGCTCTGTGGTTTTAATGTTGATTCTACTTTTATGAGAATGTTTTATTCGTGTTTTATTGAGTCTCTTTTAACCTTTACTTTTATCTGTTGGTTTGGCATTTTAACATGTAAGAACAAAAACAAACTCTTGGGGATTGTCAGGATGTGCAGCAGAATTGCTGGAATTGACCTGCAAAATCTCACTGACCTACACAATGTCAGATCAGTGAAAAAGGCCAGACTGATCCTGGCAGACCCTGATCACCCACTCCATGGTGAGTTCAGGCTGCTTCCGTCTGGATGCAGGTATCAGTTGACCAAATGCAGGACAAATAGATTAAAAAACTTATTTATCCCAGCAGCAGATAAATTACTTAATGAACATCGGTGATTTTTGTGTATGAATGTTTTTGTTTAGTTGTTTTTACAGTGGGGAAAATAAGTATTTAGTCAGTCACCAATTGTGCAAGTTCTCCCACTTAAAAAGATGAGAGAGGCCTGTAATTGACATCATAGGTAGACCTCAACTACGAGAGACAAAATATGAAAAATAATTTGAGAAAATCATTTTGTCTGACTTTTAAAGAATTTTTTTGCAAATAATGGTGGAA